AGGTTACTACAGAGTACTACGGGTCACTACAGGTTACTACAGAGTACTACGGGTCACTACAGGTTACTACAGGTTACTACACAGTACTATAAGTCACTACGAAGTACTACATGCTACTACACAGTGCTGTGGTCCTGGTTCTGGTCTCGGTTCTCTTACCAGGTGGTTCCAAGGAATCTTCCGGACGGATGCCAGGAAACTCGGGAAACCCGATCACTGTGACCCTCGATGTCCGCCACTGGCTCGTCACTATGGTGACCACAGAAACAGATTGTCATTGTTCGTTTCCATAGCAACCAGTCCTCCTCCCGTCTTCGCCCACCTCTCCAGGTTCCACAGCTTCACCGTCCCGTCGGCGGCGCAGGACGCCAGGCTGACGTCGGACCGGTCCAGAGAGACGCCGGCCTGCGGGCGGAACGCCACGGCGCCCACGTTGGTGTTGTGTCCTTCAGACAATCGCAGCAAGGCGGGGGAGGGGCAAAAAGAAACCCGGTCAGCATATTTAACTGGACTCAGATATAAACAGAAGCAGGAAGCTCCGCCCACCTCTCAGGGTCCGGATCAGGGCGCAGTCCGGAACCGACCACAGCTTGCACAGGCCGCTCCTGGAGGCGTTAGCACGCTAGCATTAGCACACTAGCAATAGCCTCGGAACAACAACAGCGGTCGGGGCAGAGCTCTTACCAGGACGCCGTGGCGAGCATCTTGGAGTCCGGACTGAAGTGGCAGAAGCTGATTGGCCGATCGTCTCCAATCTGACTGCAGAAGTTGTTCAGATTCTGACGAGGAAGAGGAGGAAGAGGAAGAGTTAAACTGAGATCAGCTGCTGCGAGTGTCAGGTCTCACACTGGATTCAACCGGTTCAGGCGGTTTGATCCGGATTCTACTGGGACAGAAGTGGTTTAGGAACCAGATTCCGCTGATATAAACTAACCTGAGTGAAAAAATATTTAACTGGATTTCAAATGCATTAAACTGGTTTAAACACAGATTCATTCACATGAATATGATTTGAACTGGTTTTTTATACCAGTGGAATTAAACTGGAGTGAACTGGTTCCAGAACTGGGCTTCGTCGGGTTTATAGAAAGAAGAACTGAACCAATTTATCTGCAAAATAAAACAAACTGGTTCAACTGGATTGAACTAGTTGCTGCATTAATATCGGGCCTCCCTCGGTTCTGGTTGCCCCGTTTCAGACAAGTCCCACGTTTCCGCTCTGGACCCGCTCCATGACCCATGGTACCGACTCACCCTCAGCGACTTGTGCAGCTCCTGCTGGCGGATCGTCTTTGTCGCCTCGGCAACCTCCTTCAAAGCGCGTGCAGCTTCCAGACGCCTCATCGACCTGACGGACCAATCACAGCAAGACGTTGTGGATCTCAGCCAATGAGAGGCTGCTTAGGGTTCGCGACCCGGATCTGGAGCAGCCATGGAGCTGATTGGTCAGTCTGCTGATGACTCACCGTGGCAGAGAATATCTAGCCAACCAGAGGCGAGCTTCCTTCAGGGAGGCGGGGCCTTCATGGTACCACGTCTGCAGACACTGTGATTGGTGGAAAGAAAAAGATTTACATTTCACTGTGGTGATGCTTCACTCGAGGAGATTTCATTTAACCGAATTTGAACTGATCGATTGGCATGCAGTACACAGTACTACAGAGTAGTTCCCTGAAGTTCCCAGTACAGGGTTTCCCCCAGAAAACTTGCTAAGCCTGGTGGTCGGGGCATTGAGTCGGTCCACCGTGTTTTTCTATTAAAAGATGTTAAGTTGACAGAAAATATTAAAGTATTACTGTGTTACAGGAAAAGATCTCCAGTGAAATGCTATTTAAACCCACAGCTAGTCTAAAAACAACAAATTTGCGCTTCTGTTTAACGCGGCGGGTTTTAAACTCCTACCTAGAGTTCTCCAGAGGATCATAATTCCTCACAGTAGGTTGATGTAAATATCCAACGGGTCAGCCTGAGTCCAGTTTGAGTGAAAGGAGGCGCCAGCTGTGATTGGTCCGCGCTGTCGGCTTTAAATGCATAAACTATAAACCTATTATAAACCTATCCTTTAGGATAAATCTGCTCTGCTAGTGAAATGCTGAGAGCAACAGAGACGCTTGCAGCCCGGCTTAAAAATAAATCAAAACATTTTTTTTTTATTTTCCTTGAAACGTAAACAAGCAATGCTTAGCCTGGCGGCGGGGCTAGTAAAGCATGGCGGGCCGCCAGGCTTATAATACACTGGGGGAAACCCTGCAGTAGTACCCAGCAGTACCCAGTAGTACCCAGCAGTACCCAGTAGTACCCAGCAGTACCCAGCAGTTCCCAGTAGTACCCAGAAGTTCCCAGCAGTACCTAGTAGTACCTAGCAGTACCTAGCAGTACCTAGTAGTACCCAGCAGTTCCCAGAAGTTCCCAGCAGTACCCAGCAGTACCTACTAGTACCCAGCAGTTCCCAGAAGTTCCCAGCAGTACCTACTAGTACCCAGCAGTACCTAGTAGTACCCAGCAGTACCTAGTAGTACCCAGTAGTACCCAGTACCTCGTCCCGTGACCTCTTGGCTCTCTCTTCGTCCTT